CCCCTAGTGTGACGTCACAATTTGCAGAATTACAGTATAGAAACTATTGTTTTTTCACTTAAATTACTTTAAAAAAATATTAATGTCAAATCAAACAATTAACTTAATAAAAAACATTAATACATTTATGTTTCGTATTTTAACACAGATTAACTATTAGTTTTTGAAAGGTGACATCACAAAGTTTTGGATCCCTCCCTCCCCCTTGTCACACAATGTCACACTTCGTCGACCCCCTCCCTCCCCCTTAAGTTGTGACGTAATTTATGGATGGCCCCTTATCTAACTGACGGCTAATTAGATTTTTAATTTTGATACCCTGGAAACTACCCAATTGTTTCCACAACTACCGTCACTATGGATATCAAACGTAAAGGCTTGATAGTAGAATAGAGCTCAATAAAACCGTCTAACATACAGATGTTTTTTTATGTTAAAAACTATTAGTATCTATACTAAATCAACTAAAAAATGTGGGTTACTCACGTGAATATACCGAGAAAAGCTCTACTAGTTTCGAACCTCAGAGGGGTTCATTCTCAAAAGCAGCGTGCGCGGTCGCGGCGATGTCGCGCAGCCTACCTCTCTCTCAGTTTATTCACGTGAGTAACCCGCAATTTTTAGTTAATTTCGTCTGTCTCACGATAGTTATTATAAAAACATATTAGTATACTATGACTACAATCGATTAGTATTATTAATCATTAAAAATTAATTAAAACAATAATCTTACAACGCCTCTTGTCTTAAAATTGCCATCTGTTCTTCTTCAGTCCTGAAATTCATGAAATGAACTTAACAATAAGATCACTACAATATGTGGACAGCCAAGTTGCTTAAGATGCGGGTAAGGATATAAAGATTGGTTCAGAACAGAGACAGTAACCATTGGTTGTGTAGAGACCAATTGTAACACAAGATGTCGCTTTGTGTGTGACACCTCGCCCTATAAGTAAGTAGCGTAAGATAGATATTAGACACTTAAAGATGTTCCTAACAGTAACACGTCTCCCTCATTGCTCCACATTGCAGCTTCGTTATAAAACATTATTATATTGCTTTTTTATGT